ACATCACTGAACCAGGTCCCACTAAAGCCAGGTCGGCCCACGCCCGAAAGGGGCCCAGGGACACACAGAAGAAGTGGGCACAAATCCGAGGATTCCCCCTATTCTCCTATAGCTTCTGGGATTTCGTCTTCTCCCCCCCTTTCCATGTTGTCTCATCCTGTCCTGGGAGTCGGCACACAAAAGAAATGTGCACATATCCCAGAATCCCCAATATTTTCCCACAGTTCCTGGGGTTTCGTCTTCCCTCCCTATGCACACTTCCTATATGTTCCCATGTTTTCCTGGGGGTCGACGATGAATCGTGTCTGTGTTTCTGCCCCTCCTGAAGACCCCCTGCGTCGACTTTTTGCCGCAACATCGACCCCCAGAGGTCTGGACGGGCCGTTCATCCTGAGTCAGCTTCAGATCGCGAAGCGTCGTCCACAACAGGTACCTCTCGACGGAGGAGCAGGAGGAGGAGGAGGAGGAGGAGGAGGAGGAGGAGACCAGGAGGCGTGGAAGCCTGCGCGTCTCGTGCAACAGACCGCAGGCTCCACAATCCCCTGGCCTCCGTCTCTTGACGGCCCCGCGGCCCGGGACTTAAGAAGGTCCCCCGGAGGCCGCAGATGGTCCGCCCAGCCCTGACATCCGACGCTGCGAACAAAACTGCACCTTCCGTAAAGCAGATCACGCCCGGAATTCTATAGACCCCAGCTTCCCGCGCCCTTTTTCGAGCCGGCTCGAGCCGCGAGGGCCCCAGGGCCCGAAACAGCGCGACCACGCCCGTGGTGAACAGCCTGCCACGCCAGGGTCTCAGGAAACCCCCGCTTTAGCAGGGACCGACCGTCTTGGCATTCCTATAGGCCTACCGCAACATGTGCGTAGAACCCAGACGTGAAGCCCGATGCGAAAAAGACAAGACAGTGCCGGGCAGACATGTTCTGAGAACGTTTCGTGGAAGCCACAGACAGGGCTCTCAGAACATTGCTGTGGTATAGGCTTAGGCCTACAGGGCACGCCAGGACGCCTCGCAACGGCTTGATTGCCACGTGGACGCTTCGCCAGGACGCTTCGCTCCGTCGCGCCAGGACGCTTCGCCAACGCCAGGATCTCAGGAACCCCCCGCGGCGGGCCGCCGCGGCCCCCCCTATCGCCGGTGGTCCGCGGCGGGCATCGGCCGCGCCCCCCCGGGGCGGCGGCGGCGGGCGGCCCGCGGGGCGCCCGCGGCGCACCTCTGGCGCCGAGCCAGGCCTGGCGCCGTCGGTGGCGTGCGCCCTCCCGGCAGGGCGAGGGGGGCACACAGCCGGAGGCACCCCAGATGGGGTCGGAGCAGATGGGGTCGGAGGATCTCTCCTCCTCCTCCTCCCTCCCTCCTCCTCCTCCTCCTCCTCCTCCTCCTCCTCCTCCTCCTCCTCCTCCCTCCTCCTCCTCCTCCTCTCCTCCTCCTCCCTCCTCCTCCTCCTCCTCCTCCTCCCTCCTCCTCCTCCTCCTCCTTCCTCCTCATCCTCCTCTTCCTCCTCTTTCCTCCTCCTCCTCCTCCTCTTACTCCTCCTCCTCCTTCTCCTCCTCCTTCTCTTTCCTCCTCCCTCCTCCTCCTCCTTCCCTCCTTACTCCTCCTCCTCTCTCCTCCTCCTCCTCCCTCCTTCCTCCTCCTTCCTCCTTCATCCTTCCTCCTCCCTCCTTCCTCCTTCTCTCTCCTTCCTCCTTCCTCCTTCCTCCTCCTCCTCCTCCTCTTCCTCCTCCACCTCCCCCTCCCCCTCCTCCTGGGCCCAGGATCGGCCTGGCCAGGAGCGCCGTGGGCGTGCGCATAGAGGCCTCCTTGATGGGGTCGGAGTAGATGGGGTCGGAGGATCAAGCCGCATCGCCGATGCATCGGCCATATGTCGGCGATGCACCGGCGACGTCAGCGTGAAGAGAAAGAGGCCCACCTCTAGCCGAATCGCCGATGCATTGCCGATGCATGGGCGATGCGGCGAGATCCTCCGACCCCACTCCGACCCCATCTAGGATGCCTAGAATAGCCCCAGACCCCCTCGCGTGGTGAAATCCCCATGACAGGAGGTTGTCTGGCTGCTTCGGCCTCTGGGGGCCCTTGGTGGGCCCTGGGACCGCCAGAAAACGACTCGGGATGAAAGACTGGTCCTGGGGAAGAGGTCCAGACCTCTGGGGGTCGACGTTGTGAAACAACTGCGACGCCTTCGGTGGCAACTCATGGGAGCCTCCCCTACATCTTGTTGGGGCCCTTGTGAATCGAGGCTTATCGACGCTAAGTCGACGCTCATCAACGCTAAATCGGCGGTAACCGATGCTCCCAGACGCTAAAGATGAAATTAAAAGGGTATACCAGGCTCTTATGATTTGCTACCGAATGAAACAATTGCGACGCCTGTGGTCTGGGGTCGTCGTGCTGCCACAAAGAGCGCTGCGTCAGGAGCGAACTGGGCTGTTCTGGCCACGGCGAGCTTCGGCCACGAGTGGGGTCGACCAACCACCTGAATCTTACAGGGGCCCTGGGACACACAAATAGGTAGACACGAAACCCAGGATTCACGATCTTTTCCCCTATGCTCAGGGATTCCGTCTCCCCCCCCTTTCCCGGTTTTCCCCATCCTTTCCTGGGAGTCGACGACGACTCGGGCGACGGCCGGCGGGGGGCTCCGAGACCCCAGGCCTCAAGGGGCCCAGGGACACGCAACATAAACAGGCACAAAGCCCAGGATTCCTCTTCCATGTTGTCCCATCCTTTCCTGGGAGTCGACGATAAATTGTGCCTGCGTGTTTCTTTCTTCCCCACCTGAAGACCTCCAACGTCTTGTTTTTGTCGCGCCTCGACCCCCAGAGGTCTGGGCCTCTTCCCCGGGACCGGTCTTTCATCCTGCGTCGGCGTCAGATCGCGAGGGTGCCGTCCACAACAGAAACCCCTCGTCTGCCTAAAGCGATGCTGAAGAAGAGGAGGATAATGAGGCGGAGGAGGAGAAGGAGACCAAGAGGAGGAGAAGGAGGAGGAGGAGGAGGAGCCTGGCCAGGCCCGGGATGTCGGCCCGGCCGGGAGCGTCATGCGGGCGTGCACGTGGAGGCCTCCCACAGGGGGCTGGGGGCCGAGAAGACGAAGGGCTAGAAAGTATTTGAAAACATTGGGAATCCTCCCAGACACTCGGAACATATAGGAAAAGATGGGAAGATGAAAACCCCAAAACTATGGGATAGGCTGGAAAAGCAGAGACACATTGATTTGTGTCTACTTATGTTTGTGTGTCCCAGGACCCCTTTATCACGGACTCGCAGGTGGGGATGGGGGGGTACCTCTTTCGCGGCCCCCCTCTCGGAGGGCGCAAGCTGTGCTCTGGGCCTCCTAGATGGGATCTGAGTAGATGGGGTCCGAGGATCAAGCCGCATCGCCGATGCATCGGCGATGCATCTGCGATGCACCGCCAACATCGGCGACGCATCGGTGACGTCGACGTCGACGTCAAGCACGTCGGGCTCCACATCGAGCCGCATCGGCGATGCATCGGCGATGCAGCGCGATCCTCGGACCACATCTACTCAGGACAAAAGCGGATCCAAGAAACCAGCGCGGAGCGCCAAAAGTTTATGTGTATGCCGTTTCTCTTTCTTCGATGAAGGGGAGTGCAATAGAGCTGGGGCAATTGTATTGCAGATGTATTGCGCCAGATAATCGTATTGCAATGTAGTGCGACTGATGTCTTTGCACGCGAAAATCCAATACATTGCGCTCAGGGATGTATGTGTTGCACGCCCTAAATCTCATGGAGATCGAGAAATATATTGCACCAAATCTATTGTAGCTGGACCCCCGTTCTCGGTCAACCAGGACAGATGGGTGAATTTCAACATTGCTTGTATATCTCGGGCTTGCTGCTAATCAATTAGTACTACCGTATTCATTCAATTGGCAATGCTTCCAATCATATGCAGTCCGTCGCGGATTCCCGAGGCTACCGCGAGCTCAGGCACGGCTCCACTGGCGACTTGTGCAGCGTTTTTGACTGGGAACCGACGGGTTATGCAACCTTTCCCGTTTTGTCGGCTCGGGCTCGGTTTTCGAACTTTCAACCTCCTCCTCATCATCATCCTCCTCCCCGTCCTCTTTCCTCCTCCTCCTCCTGCCCGTTCCCGTCCTTGTCCTCTTTCCTCCTCTTCCCCCCTCCTGCTCATCCCCCCATTCCTCTCCCAAGTAGACAACGCATCCTCTTCGCGTTGTCAGAACCTCGGTAGGGTGAAACCAGCGTTTCGCGCAAGACTTCCTCACTATGTACAACCGCACACCCTGAAATCTTTGGCAGCTACACCGACGCGCGCCGCGCACTCTCGTCTGTAGCGGTCCCGGGAACTGCACGGATGCAGGACTGAGGGCGGGCCAACAACAAACAAAAGAGTTGGCGCTCGCCCGAGCGCCGCGAACACACGGATAGGGCACGGGTTGTTGTCAATATGTGGCTTTCGCCGTAGCGCCACGCGCATTCATCATGAGACGATTCTCTTTCAGAGCCCGTGAAATTCGACCTCCTAACGACCAGCAACCACCCATATAGGGGACGGCTTCTTTCCAGAACCCCGAACCCTACAGCCGTCCCCACAATCGCACGGATGGAGGACGATGCATGTTCACCAGGGCGCCATAACTTGACACTTCCCAGAGGCTGCTTGGTCTCGTATCTGGTCGTTTCTGGTTGCTGCAACGGCGGAGGGCGATTTCCGTTCGGAACAGGACTCTCGCCTCCATTATCCGCGCAATCGTTCAAGGGGCGCTCCCCGGACTGGAAGGACATACGTACAGGGGCTCGTGGGGAGACTCGGGGCGGAGGGTGAACCAGCATCATTGGCGCGTGCTGGGCTTCCTCGTGTCATCCTCCTGTCCCTCCTCCTTCCTCCTCCTCCTCCTCCTCATTCTCCCTCCCCTCCTTCTCGACTCCTTCCCATCATCCTCATCATAATCCTCCTGCTAGTCCTCTTTCTTTTCCTCCTTCTCCTCCTCCTCCTCCTCAGCGCGCACAGTCCTGGCTGACGCAATCGTCCAGGGTGCGCTTGATGTAATCCACGCACTCGAACTCCTCGCTGCCGTCCTGCACCGCACGGAAGGCGGGAGGAGGTGAACGAACGAACGAACAAACAAACGAACGGATGAGGTGAGTGAGCAACTCGCTGAAAAAATGAATGAATGAATGAATGAATGAATGAATGAATGAATGAATGAATGAATGAATAAATGAGTGAATCAGATAATGAATGAGAGAACGACTGAGTGATCGTGGATTCCTGGAGGGGGCGAAGGAAGAGAGAGAGAGAGAGAGGGATAACTCCAGGCTGCAGTTATCGGGGCGGCCAGGAGAGGAGGCGAGAAAAAGGCATGAAGGCCTCTTCGTCTGCGCGCTGCTGCTCCTCGTCATCCTCCCAGTCCGCGGCATCATCACCATCAGCAGCAGCATCATCATCGTCATCGGCATCTTGCATCATCACCATCAACATCATCATCACCAACAACATCACCATCATCAGCATCATCACCATCAGCAGCATCAGCAGCAGCATCATCAACAACATCAACATCTCATCACCATCAGCATCATCAGCATCATCATCATCATCATCATCATCATCAGCATCATCATCATCATCATCATCGTCAACATAATCACCACCTTGTATCACCATCATCACCTGTGGCATCATCAACATCAGCATCATCAGCATCATCATCCTCATCAACATCATCACCAATACAAACAACATCATCGGCATCATCGTCAACCTCGTTATGTTACCGTCACAATCATTAACACCGTCATCGCCACCACCACCACCACCATCATCAACATCATCATCATCAACAACTTCATTATCATCAACACCATCCTCCTCATCATCATCAACAACATGATCACCCCTCATCCCAAATCCATCGTCCCGACTCCTCGCCCTTGTGATCCATACTTGTCATGTTCCTCCGACATCCATACGTAGCTTGCTACATTATCATCAGTCTCCTGTGCGACAAGCGAAAAGGGAATCGATACGAGAAAGAACCATGCTAAGCACGAATACGTTTTGTAAAAGTTCTTCGCCGATGCTGTTCACTCTCTGTCCGCAAGTTAAATCCACGCACGCGCCGCACAAGGACGGCCAGGTGAACAAGGTCTTAAAATCGGGGATGGACAGACCTCCCTTTAGTAAAACGTGGTTTAGTGAAAACGACCTGAGGCCCAAACCTGGCGGGCGCGAGCCTGGAAAATGACGGCCGCGGCGCCCTCTCGAGAACCGAAAACGGACAATTCACTAATCGACGTGTCACTGTTGGGGGTTCTGTCCACCCCCGATAAGAGTCGATGGCCACATGCGCGCTTCGAGTGCCTCCCCTTGCCCAGCCAACGCGTTCCTCGTTGCGGCCTCGTCGTCTCAGCACCGCAAGACCAACATCCACCTCGCGGGCTCGCAGCGAGCAAAGCGTGTGGGTCATCAGTGACGCTGTCGGGAACGCATGCGATGTGTCAAACAATCAACCTCACTTCGTCTCCCTGGACTGGCTGCTGTACGGAAACTGCTCCGATCGATGGTGCGCCAATTACGTACGCGCGCGACCTTCTGTCGGTGGCGAGCGCGGGGGGGGGAGTGAGAACGGGCCCGCCCTCTCAGAAGGCTCCGAAGTCCCATAGCCTTCTGAGAAGTTTTCCAAACCTTTCCCGAAGACAGAGAACATTTCTCAGGAGGCGAAAGGGCTTCTGAGAAGTCCCGCCGCCTTCTGAGAAGGTCCTCTCGTCCTCTCTGTCTCACTTCCCCCTCGCTCGCCGCCGATTCTGCAGCTGCGGTCACAGCCTGAATCGTCAATCTCGTTGTCGTAGTGTCTCCGTGGGGCAGCCAAGCTAGGTCACCTGACTCGTCGCCCGGGGGGGGTGTTATTTCGGGTCTACGGCAGGCGTTCGGGACAACCCGGGCATCCCCGGAACGCTCTCGGCGAGGCGCAGCCGCTGGAACGCACCCACGGAGCGGAAAACCGCCAAGAACCTAAGAAAACCGCCAAGAACCTAAGACAACGCCCGAAGATCCAGAACCTCGAAGCTCGAACCTGGAAGCTCCCCCTCCCTCGCGCGCTGTCGCGGTGCCTCGTCTCTACGGGGCAGGAGCAGGGCCAGGCCACACGGCTCCGCGGGCCCCGCCCCCCGCGAACCGCGCCCGCGCCGTGGGCACTCCGCGCCCGCGCGCCGCCTCCCCTCGGGAGGAGGAGGTGCGCCCCTCCCTCGCCGGCCCAGGCAGCGCGCCACGCGCAGCCTCGGAGGCCCCAGATGGGTACGGAAAGGATGCACAATGCCCAACGACAAATGCTGTCCCAAACCAGCAGCGGCCGCTGTTGGGCAGGCGGCCTTCTGCCCCGAGCGGACACGGGCCGCGGCGGCGTGGACAGCGAGCCCTGCTCAAAATGAACCGGAACTGCTGTTAGGCATTGCACCCGTTCTTTCCGTACCCATCTCGTTCGTGCCGAGAAGCGCGTGCTTACCTTCGCGTCCCTTGGGTGGCCCGTCCACTGGTGCCTTTCGTGCTAACAGGGGCACTACCTCGAGAAACCTTCCGCAAGCAATCTGGCCCTGAGGCCCAGGACGCCCCTCGATTCTTGGTGCGGGAACGTCGCGCGTTCCACAGCGAGACTATCGAAAACCAGGAAAAGTCAGGGCGCCATGGGGGCGAGCAGGGTGTTTCTTGGCATGTAGCTTTTGTCTGCTATTAGTATGTTCTATGTTATCGGAGTGCGTGTTTGTAGTGGCCCCAACTCGAAGCCCCACGGTCGGTCAAAGGCTGGCACACAAACGAACGGGCAATGAAGGAAGCAAGAAAGCACAATCGGTAGAGCACTTCGGCGAGCACGCTTGCTGACCTGCACGACGACGAAGACGCAAGCCTGCTATAACACACGCGGGCACAAGCTTAGGCACGTGCACATCCGCGCACGAAGCGAGGCAGCAGAGCCTCCCCCTCGGCCTCCTCTCCCTCCTCAACCTCTCTCTCTCACTCTCCTCCTGCCCTCTGTCTCACTTCCCCCAAGAGGATACAGGCATTCGGGCCCACCCTGATGCCCCCTATCTGATGTGTGCAAGCTGTTGAGGCGAGACAGGACGAGGAGGACAAAGACGACGACGACACCGACGACGATGAAAACAACGAAGAGCACGAGGGCGAGGAAGCGGACGGGGAGGAGGGCGGACGAGGGAGGCGAGGAGAGAGGACCAAGGAGAAACCGGAGGGGGGAGGAGAGAGGAGAGGCAGAGGCGGAAGAGAAAGGGATACTATCGGAGAAGGAGGGACCGAAGCGAGAGGGGGCAAAACGGAGCAAGGACCGATGCTCGAGACGACGAGGCGCATGGAGGCGGGCGGGAGACGACGGCGGGAGGAGCAGGAGGTGGACGGAACACGACGAGGGCAGCACACCAGAAACGGAGGAGCACCGACGGGGGGAGCACCGACGGAGGCGGCACGCCGAGGGCAGCACGTCGGTAGGGATGGAGGTGGTAGGAGGAGCACATCGGAGGAAGAGGAGGAGGAGGAGGAGGAGGAGGACGGAAGTAAAGTGCGGGCGCGGCCGCAAGAAAGCTTCGCAAGGAACCCAACCCTGAAAACCCGCGCGCGAGGTGAAAACCTGAACATCCTGAACGCAGCAGCTTCCTCAACGGTTGCGGGAAGTCACCGCGCAGCGCGCGGAGCGAAGAAACCCAGGGTACCTGGACGAAAAGAAGATGGTCTCTTGATGCGCGCCCCCACTGTAGATGAGGGAGTAGGATGGGAGGAACCCGACGGGGAGAAAGAGAGCATGCCATGGGACGCAGAAGGACACACTAGTACTGTGCGCCCTCCTTTGGAGGCGCGCGCCCGACTCGAAACTATAGTGTTAACCATGTTGTACGAGATCGTTTCCCGAGCGGTACGGCCAGAACACGCGCGCCACGGAGCTGTTACCAGAAGATTTCGCGACGCGCGTGGCGCCCCTTGGGGGGCGACGCACACGTAAAGTATTAGTATTAAGTCGAGCCTGTCCCTCTACAGGAGGAATAATTATAGATATTCAAGACATGCAGGGATGATCTTTTGAAGCTATATTTGGGCATGTTTGGATATGTTGAACAGTTTTTATTTGTCGTCCCAAATCCGCCTGTAGGGGGACACACCCGACTTGGTATTAGTATGCTGGGGCGCCGTCGATGCAACGCGGAATGCTGTCTGTGGCCCGTTGTCCTCTTCCCGATGCGACAAGCTCGCCCGGACACCGCCTACAACATACCCCGCTCATTATTCCCCCCCCTCCTCCATCGCTTCCGTCAGCGAAGTCGGACTACGCCTCGCCCCAAACCCTCTGCTCATGCTGCTGCGCCCACATTGGTGCTGGCGCCGACAGCGCTGTTGCGCATGATGTGCTTCTCCTGGGATGTCGCGATACTCTCCCCGTCGTAATTCGTCCCTGCTCACCCGCGCTGCCGTCTTTCCATCACACACGCACGACCGAGGAGGCTCTGCGGCATACCTAGACGTGCACACGCGCGTGCGTATGCGAGCGAACTATGTAGGCACGCGAACTATGTAGGCACGCACAAACACGAGCACTAGACACACACACACACACACACACACACACACGCACGCACGCACGCGCACACACGCGCGCACGCACGCACATTAGAAGAATATTACAAACGCCATAAATATAGACTTCTGGCGCTCCGCGAGGACTTCTTGGATCTGCGCGGGGCCCTTCTCCCTGGCGCGCGGAGCGGGCCAGGAGCGGCGCCGGAGGTGCTGCTGGGCGGACCCCAGCTCGGATTCGAGAAACCCGCGCGGAGCGCCAAAAGTTATGTTCATGGCGGTTTTTCTCCTTCGGCTATAGCAGGAACGACAGGGCAAACCATCTGAAGCCAAGAAACCCAGAACATCCTGGAGGCAAGCAGGATGGGATGTTTCTTGGCATAGGTCCCAACTGTAAGGGTGCCGAGCTTCCTCCGAAAGAGCAACACACACGACGCCTCTGGCGCCCGCCGCCTGCCGCAGCCCAGATTGTGCAGGCCTGAAATTTGCCACACGGTGTGTCGTTGAAGTGGGCATCTTTGGATGTCCCAGACCCCTGTCTACTTCAAGCGCCTTCCTACTCCAAGGATCGATATGCTTCTGCTGTGCTTTTGCTACTCACTGGGACAAGGGCTCCCAACTTCGCGCTTCGCGCTGCGCGAAGTGCGAATAACTTCGCGCTCTCGCGCCGCCTCCCAGGGGGGAAGAGGAGGAGGAGGAGGAGGAGGAGGAGGAGGAATGGGAACCGAACCGCGAAGCGCGAAGCGCGAATGACTTCGCGCCCTCGAGGGCGCCCTTGTGGGAGGGCCTCCTGAGGCCTCCTGCGGAGCGCTACAACAAAAAACGCAGGGGCTCTCACGGCCACGGCGAGCCCCCGCCACGAGCGGGCCGCCCCGACCCCGGACCTCGGGAGAACGGCCCGAGGACAGGAGCACCTCCTGAACCCCAAGTGGTCCTTGAGGAGGAGGAGGGGGAGGAGGGGGAGGAGGAGGAGGGGGAGGAGGGGGACGAGGAGAGGGAGGAGGAGGAGGAGAAGGAAGAGCAGGAGGAGGAGGAGGAGAAGGAGGAGGAGGACTCCCTCTCCTCCTCCTCCTCCTCCTCCTCCTCCTCCTCCTCCTCCTCCTCAGCGCCTGGGCTGTGCACTCCTGCCCTGCTGCGCCAGCGCCGATGCCCTGGGCGCCTGCGACGGACCTGGGCGGCGAGCGCCCCCCCGCCGCGGGGAGTGCCGGCCCGAGCCCGTGGCGCGAGCGGCCGCGGCCGCGGAGCTGCGCGGGAGCGTCCCCGGGCCGCCTGGGGCGATGGCGGGAAAGCGTCTTCCTCAGTCGTCGGTGCGATCGGATGGGGGGCAACGATAGGGGGGGATATGCATAGGGGGGGATGCATCGACCTGGAATCGGCGATACATCGCCGATGGATCGGCGATAGGCTCCCGATCGTGAGTCCGCACCTCCCTGGGCAGGTTGTGGCTATCGGGCACCTATCGGCGATCAATGGGCGATTGGGGGTCGATGCGTACCCCCCTATGCCTAACCCCCCTATCGTTGCCCCTGATCAAAGGGTACGGGACGACTGGATGCGAAGACCGGCAGCCATCCCTGCCCATCCTGAGCAGGGCTCGCGGCCCATGTCGCTGCGGGCGCTGCCAGTCTGAGACGGAAGGTCGCCTGTCCACCAGCGGCCGCTGTCGGTTTGAGACAACATGTGTTGTCGGGCATCGTACCCATTTTTCCGTACAGTAGAGGCCAGTCCACAAACCTTCCACAAGAAACAAACCCTGAGACCCCAGGGCGTCTATAGATTTGTGGTGCGGAAGCGCCACGCTCTCCACAGCAAAATCATCGCAACCCAAGAAACACAGGGCACCCTGGAAGGAAGCAGGGTGTTTCTTGACATGGGCCACCACTGTATGAGACGAAAAGTCGCCTGCCCAACAACGACCGCTGTCGGTTTGAGACAATATTTCCTGTGGGGCATCGTGCCCATTTATTCCGTACCCGCCGGTCGGAAGAAATAGGTAAAAACATGAAGTAGGAATGCGGATGAAGTGGCTTGGGTTCAGGCCCTCCCTGAGAATAACAAAGCCAGAGCAGAAGCATATCGATTCTTGGAGTAGGACGGCGCTTGAGGTAGGATCTGGGAATTCAGAAATACCTACTTTCAACGACTGGCGTGTAGCCAATTTCAGGCGTGCAAAATTCGAGCTGCGGCATGCGGCGGGCGCCAGAGTCGCGGGTCGTGGCGTCGCGTGTGCTGCTCCTTCGGAGGAAGCTCGGCACCCCTACAATGGAGACCCATGCCAAGAAACACCCTGCTAGCCTCAAGGGTGCCCTGGGTTTTTTTGGTTTCGACAGTTCTGCTATGGACAGCGTGACGTGCCCACACCGAAAAAAATCAAGGGGCGTCCTGGGGTCTCAGGGTTGGGTTTCTTGTGGACTGGCGTCCACTGTAGGCATTGGACGCTTAGGGCTACAGGGGGCCTCAGATGGCCCACGATGGCCTCCAAGATGGCACAATACACGTAGCCTGAATGGCTCAATGTAGCCTTCAACATGTCGCCCAAAAGCGCCACGACCGTTTCAAGACGGCTCCAAGTGGCCACAGAGCCTCCCCAAGGCACACCCAGGCCCAAATCCTTCCAACAATATGGTTTTGTCGTCTCGCCTTGACGCTTCCAATCTGTTCTTGATGCCTTAATATGGCTTCAATATGGCCCTAGAGAGCCCCGAGATGGCCCAAGAGGGGCCCACAAGGACCCCAAGCGAGCCCAAAAGCTCCCCAAGAGAACTCCACGAGGCGACGTGAGTTTTGGACCGAAAAGCTTCTAAAGTCGGCCGAAGATGGCTCCAATAGGCTCCACAAAGCGTTGGCCGCATTGCTACAATATCTGCTTACCTGCGCCCTTCCTCCAGACAGCTGCCCTGAGCATCGTTTGCAGATGGGCTGGTGGGGCTGCAGTAGGAGCTCGACCACAAGAAACCTTCCACAAGAAACCCAGCCCTGAGACCCCAGGACGTCCAGTGATTCTTGGTGTGGGAACGCACGCTCTCTATAGCAAAACCATCGAAACCCAAGAAACCCAGGGCACACTGGAGGCAAGCAGGGTGTTTCTTGGTATGATTTTTCAGTGTACGCGAAGCGTAAAGATACTGGAGGCAGGAGGTATGAACGCATATCCTGAGCCGCCTCCACTGGAGGGGGTAGAAATGAGGGGGGGGGCGGAAGCAAAATGCTCCATGCCGACGGCCGCTTCAGCAAAACACATAATGGCAGAATCATAATGGAAATACGGAGACTCCAAGCACGCGATCCAGTCAACCCGTATCAGAAGGATCCGCGGCAAGGATACAAAGGCCTTGGAGCACGTTTTTCGAACGAGATTGGCCAGCGAGAGTCGCTAAGGATGGGCCAAAGGGGCAAGGATGCAAGGGTACCCTTGGGAACGCTACCCATCCTTACTCTGTGGGTAGACTGTGCGGATACTCCACGCCCGCGATAACAGACACACGAATTGATGCACATCCAATCCCCACACCCTTACCCTTCCTATGGCTACAAACAGGTACTCTGGGTATGCGCCAGCGGAGCGTAGCACCGACCGACACACGCGCGCGCACACACACACACACACACACTCCCTCTCTCTCTGTTTCTCTCTCTCTCTCTCTGGTTGATGTATAGAGGGAGAAGGGAGAAAAGGGGAAGATGTGGGAGGGAGGATGGGGGGGCCAGATGAGGAGGAAAGCGTGAGGAGACAGGGTAGAGGAGGGAGGACGGGAGGGGGCAGGCGTAGAGGGGGGAGCAGTGAGGGAAGACCGGGCGACTGCGGCAATCCTGCCACAGGACAAGGTCCACCTGCGTCCTCTCGTAGACGGTCAGGTCGAACGCCTGCTCAAAATCAGCACAGGTGCCAGGTATGCGAGCCCATCTCGTCCTCCTCCTGACTCGCCCTTCCCCCGTCTTCCTCCACCTCCCTCTCCTCCTCCTCGCCCTTCCCTTCCTCCCTTTCATGTCGCCTCCTCCTGCTCCACCCATCTTCTTATCCGACATCCGCTTCCTCTTCGTCATCCCTGCACATCCTACTCATCATCGGCATCATCAGCACCATACTCGCCATCTAAAACATAATCCAAAGCACCAACATAATAATCTGAATATTCATACTCATAATCATCATCATCAGCATCATCATGATCATCGTCAGCATCATCATCATCATCATCATCATCATCATCATCATCATCATCATCATCATCATCACAATCATCATCATCATCATCATCATAATCATCATCATCATCATCATCATCATCATCGTCGTCATCCTCAACCTCCTCAGCATCAACATCCTCGTCATCATCAACACCAGCATCAACACCACAATCATCAGCGTTGAAATCATCACTAGCAACAACATGCATAATCAGAATCACCATCACCACCGTCAGCACTGTCATCATGATGATCATCATCTCCGTCGTCATCATCATCATCATCAGCATAACGTCAACGGCACCTTCATCATTATCAGGATCGTCACCACTACCATCAACGTCATTATTATCATCACCACCATCATGGTCACCATCAACACATTCATCGTCGTCGCCGTCGTCACAATCATCATCAACATAAGCACCACTACCACAACCACCATAATCACCATCATGATCATCATCAACAACAACAGACCCAACATACTCACAAATTCAACATCAATCACCATCCGCAGCAACTACATTCATCACCAGCAACAACAATCATTCTAATAATGATGGCGTTTCCCTGCCTGTGTGCCTTTCAACGTGTATCCCAAACCATCGGTCATAAATAAAGTTCCAAGCGACAATGCGACTCAGAAGTACATCACTAGAACAACCAAGGAAAGATCGTGATTCCTGAATCTGGCGCCGCAACAATTATGAGGAGGTGCCACGCGAGAGTTCGATACTGAGTTTAACCGCGAGGAAATATGAGGCGGGAGCCGTTGTCGTTGTAACTCGGCGGCCGGGGGGCCAATTTGGTGACCCCAAACTTGCTCTAAAAAACAGGATGCGAGCCCCCAGAGGAGCACTTTGATTGAAAATGCAGTGGTCACCGAAGGGGGGATCAATAGGAATTACTCTTTGGAAATGAAAATTCAACAGCCGCCTCAACAATAACAGCACCAAAGATGCTAAGACTGCTCGCTCATATCCGCTAGCGTCTCAACCACCATGCACATCCCACAAACTCGATACCCGCCATGTGCGTCTTCGATCGTACCCCTCTGGGGAGCAGATTTCGTTGCCTGTCACGTGTAGCTGGCGCAGCCCCTAAAACAGAGCAAGGGAGGGAGGAGGGAAGGAACAAGGGGGACGGAGAAGGATTGAGCACGAGAGATATTGGTATGAAGGGAGCTCGGAACAGAAAAACAAACGGCAGAACCAGACGGGCGGGTCGGGCGAGCAGACGCTTCAGGGCGGGTCGGGCGGGCGGGCCCAAACCGGCCGAGTCGAACAGGCGGGTCGCAGAAGAGCTCGTTCCGCATGGTTCGTGAGGACGTCTCGAGCGATAGCAGGATTCCGTAGTGTACATCGTGAGGAAGTCCAGATCGAGAGAAGGATTCCTGAGTGTCGAGTGAGCGACCTCAGCAGAACGCATGGAAGTCCCATACGAGAGCGCGAATGCTGGGTAATGTGCGAGGGTGTCTGGCGCAGAAGTGCGCTCTTTAAACTTGCGTTGTGAGGCAGCATCGGGCGGGAGCCGTTGTGATGCCAGCTCGGGAGCCGCGGGCGCAGTCTGAGGGCCAAGACTGCCCCCCGTAAAAAAAACAGTGTGCGAGCCGTGGGATGGGCACGCCACTTGAAGAACACCATGGGCACCGCGGAGGCGGGACCAACAATAATTACTCTGTAGAGTTGGTAATGAATACAACAAAAACAATAAACAACCAAACAAGCAAACATAACCAACAACACCACCACCAACAACAACAACCAACACCAACCAACAACGACAAGCATACACAACAACAGCAGCAAAAACAACAGCAACGATCAACAACAAACAACAATAACATCAATCATCTGAAGACTGTTCGCTCTTACCTGCCAACGTGTCGTTCAACCATATATACGAACCCCTCGATACCCGCCATCTTCGTCTTCGATCGTACCCCCCTGGGGGTATCGTGCAGCCTGTAACACAAGGGAAACGAGGACGGATGGAAGGATGGCACAAGGGGGAGGGAGAAGGATGAAGCACGAGAGAGTGTGTCAGGAGGGGGGCTAGGATCAGGTCGGGCCTGTCCCCCTCCAGGCGGATTTTGGGCGACTGCAAAGTACTAACAAAATATAACAAAGCAGTCAAAACAAACAATAGACAAATCAGTTCCCAGACTATGTTTTAACTATTTTTGAATGTTCCCCCTGTAGAGGGACGGGCCCGACTTCAGGCCAGGAGAAGAACACGTGGCAGAACTCCACGGGCAGATCGGACGGGAAGACCCTCACGGGCGGGTCGGGACGGCATGCCCAGGCGGCCAGGTTGAGAGCAGCCGAACCTCGAGCAGTGGCGAAGTGTCCTGGCTTGCCTATAGCCCTACCAAACAATGTTCTAAGAACCTTGTGGTTCCCACGAAATGTTCTTAGAACATGTCTGGCCAAGACTGTCTAGTTTTATCACATCGGGCTATGTTCTAAGATCATTGTTTTTGTTCTTAGAACGTTTTTGTGTTCTAAGAACATTTCGTGGTAGGACTATAGGAATGCCGGGACGGTCAGTCCCTGCTCACGAACCGAACCGGAGCCGAACCGCGAAGCGCGAAGCCGAGGCGAGAGGCGCAAAAGCGCGAAGCGCGAGGCGAGGCGGTTATCGGAGCCGCACCGCTGAGGGCGCGAGGCGCGCAGGGCTTCGCGCCCTCGGAGGGCGCCCGTGGGGGACCGCACGCGACGGGAGGACGACCGGCAGGCGCGAGGCGCGAGGACCACGCCGCGGCGCCGAGGGCCGAGGCGCGGCGGGGGGGCGCGCGCAGGGGCGGCGCGGGCGAGGGCGGAGGCCTCCTAGATTTAGGTGGGGCGTGTCCCGCTACAGGGGGATCTTCGGAGATTTTCTTTTTAAAGGCAAAAATGCTCCAAAATGGTCGAAAGATGTTCCAAACATTTTCCCCACACCATTGTTTTACTATTTTTGAATATTACCCCTGTGGAAGGACAGGTCCGACTCAATCCTAAATGGGGTCGGAGTACAGTCGGGCCGAAGCATAAGGATGCGCGAGAAGGCTGCAAGGGCCTCGGGCGCCCATGTTGCAGCTTTTCGAGCGGGGCGCGGCCAACGAGACCATCCTTACCATGCGGGTTGACTGTAGATGGGGTCGGAGGATCGCGCCGCATCGCCGATACATCGGCGATGTATCGTCGACGCATCAACGATGCGTCGGCGATGCATCGGCGACGCGCATCGGCGACGTCTGCGCGGAGAAAATCAGGAGAGCCCAGAATCGAATCAATAAGTCGGATCGGCGATCGAAATGAATCGGATTGGCGGAAATCGGCAGCCGAGTCGGGGAAAATCGCATCGGCAGAACTCGGCAAGCTACACTGCCACCATATACAAGAGACCGGAGCCCAGATCGGCATCCCAAGTCGAATCGAATCGGCGTCGGAAGCAACCGAAATCGAATCGAACCGAATCGGAGGAATCGAAGCGGACCCCAGAAAATCGGGCTCCGCATCGATTGAGCAAGGACCGACCGTCCCGGCATTCCTGTAGGCATACCACGGAATGCTCTTGGAACTCAGAGGTGTTCTAGGAACAAAGATAAAGTTCTCAGGACAAAGACCAGAGGTGTGAAAACAAGACAGCCTCGGCCAGAAATGTTCTGAGAACATCTTGTGCAGACCTTACAAGGTTCTTAGACGCTTCGCCACTGCTTGATGCTCCTCACCCCGCGCGGTGGCGCGGAGGTTGAGCGAGCCGC